AAAGCCAGCTCGTGAGCGCGTCAGTAATATATTAAAGCGAGAGCGGATTAGAAACAGATCAGACTGCTGCATTATTTATGAGTCTAATTCCTCGACGCCCGACACGATGTATTATCTCCATAATTCAGCAGGATTTCATTTTACACAAGGCACCCTGTCCAATATGGAGGACGGGCACGTGACGGGACGAGACAGCTGTGCAGACAGAACATCAGTCTCACTTACACTCACTTCCTCCAGCTGTTTTACTTCCATCATATTAATCGTAACTTCTTTATGCATGTAATGAATTACAAGTCTAATTAACAACAACAGCAATTATAATAATAATGAGAAGAAAAAGAACAAGAACAGCGAAGAAGAAGAAGAAGAAGAAGAAGAAGAAAAGGAAGGTGAAAAGAAGAAGAAAGTGAAAAAGAAAAACAAGCAGAAGAAGAAAGATGAGAAAAAGAAGAAGAAAGGGAAGAAGAACAACAACAAAGATACGAAGAAGAAGAAAAAGAAGCATGAAGAGAAGGAGAAAGATAAAAAGAAGAAGAAGAAGAAGTACGCTCTGCTGTTTAAGATCAAAAGATTTAGAGTTTTTAATCTTTGAAATTTGAAATTCAGGAATTTACAGCCACAAGCCATTTCATCATATACGTTTAATACACGTCTTAAAATTTTGGTTCTTCTTCCTTCCGGTCGTTCTTTCTTCAATGCATTTTTATTCGTTTATTTATTCATGTCATATTCTTTTTTTCCTCATTCTCATTAAAGGGAGTTCATCTTTATGCACTTTATTTATACTTTCATTCACTTTCTGTTTGAAGTCTTTTTAAATAAACTCTTTGTACAGAACTGTTTTGGGATCGTTCGTTTGTTTATTTAAAGTACAACTTACAAATAATTGTGCATTCCGATCAGTGTAATGAAATAGTGGAACTGCGAGCAAAAACCATCAATCTGGCAACCCTGATTAGTGTTTATAAATCTGGAGCAGAATCGTGGCATTAGTGGCGTGGCGTTTCTCTTACTTAATCGTCCCCGAGCGTGAGCAGGGGGTTTCATGGTGTTTAATTCGATCAGTCTGAGTAATGTTGTAATAAACATGCCAGTCGCGTTGCAGTAAAACACACACACACTCGGCAGGGGACGGAGGACAGGGGGGTTAAATGCACCCCGCAGTGATGACGGAGGACATGGGTACCGTTTTGCGGTGACGGCTCCTCCATTGATCTTCATGCAGGTGACTTTGCGTGTCTGGAACCCCGCTGAGCAGCTCCACGTGTCGTTGCGAACGTCGCTCCTGTTCAGAGAGGCGGAGGGATCGGGGACACACGGACCCCACGGAGACGCTTCCCAATAAAACACCACACAGGGGTTATCGTTACAGGATCTCCACTCCTCCAGAGACGGGGCAGGAGGACACGATTTACCCCCTGAGAGAGAAACATGATTGTAGCATACGGACACAGATAGACATTTGCGTGCACGCGTGACATAACTGATGAATTTAATAACAAAATTGTGTGTAATGGAACATTTCATACATCGTGATGCCAAAAAAGACGCCGATGGTCCAGAAGACATGCTGCTAAACTGGGGTTTGTAGTGTTACATCCATGGAGCTGAAATGGACTTTAACTACAAGGAATTTCAATCTAAAATACGAATCTAAACACTGTGAAACATGGTGGCGGCAGCACCGTAAAGAGTCACAGGAGTAACTGCAGTGTCAGACTGTAACTACAAACTGAGGAAAAGTAGAAGGGGCAAATACTTATGCACGGCGCTGTAAGCTACAATTACAAATGGAGTTAGCAACATAAATACCAGTTAGCTAGCTTGCTTGCTAGCTCGCTAGCAATAACACCGTTTGTTGATTTTAATTTCTGAGGATGCTGCCACAGTGTTCAGCAGGCGCGTTCTCTATTCTCACGTACGCTCGCGTCGCGGTTCTTTACGGGTTCTGAAGCGAGTCAACGTGTCCGTTTTAGAGTTTTTCATAGGAGTCTCTTGGTTTTGTGAACACAAAATCATGGCTGTCAGGCCATTTCAAGAGCACGTTAAGGGTTCTATGTTTCCAAATAAGGTTCTACTGGAACTATCGGTATTAGAAGGAACCTCAGTTGTAGGGTTCTACAGGAGTGCACCAGAGAACCCGAATCCTTGGTATTGATCAACCGTCCTGGTTCCTCTTAATTCCTCGAGTTCAGGTTTTCTCCCTACACTCTTAAGAACCGTTAACCTTTCAAAAACCCATTTCTAACAGTGTAAGCGCTGGTATTTCTGAATTTATGACTACAGATAAGCACGTCTAACTGTGACCTTTGACCTTCATGTGCGGAGCTTAAACGAGCCAATTACAAACTCGATCCCATGATATGACATTTTCATCCCACTGTAGTTCTTAGCACTTGCTAATTACACGAGATGAGTTTAGCAGCTAGCTTGTGATAGATCTTTGCTAATGATGTAACATCAGATACATAGTGTAGCGCTGGAGAGACATTAATGTTAATGTAAATTAAGCTAACTACTTAGCCTGCTAATGTTAGCATAGCGGTTGAAACCTTGTTTTTTTTTTGTGCTAGTCTGATAGACTTTAACGTAAGCTCCACTCGTGAAGAATCGGGACGTGTTTTTATCAGTGACGAGGACAGAAACATGATGCGGCTGATGAAACGTGCACGAGTACACTTTGTTCAGGGATAAACTCTGTAATTCTATCACAGAGGCTGCAGAACCCGGCGATGTGCAGCGCTGGATTAGCGCCTTGATTTATTTCTGTCCTTTTTTCTGTAATTAAAAGTGATTCCAAATGCCATGTGCCCTTGGAGTCAAGGACGCTGTATTGACATTCAGTTTCAGCACACGGTGCGTTAAGTGGCCCAGAACGCGCCATAATGAATCCGGCACAGATCGGCCGAATATTAATAAGGGATTGTCTAACTAATAAGACTCAGCGGACTGTGCCGTGTGTGTGTGTGTGTGTGCATGGAGGGGACAAATTTCCATATCTCAGCACTAAGGGATCAACAGGAGAGATGTGTGTGTGTGTGTGTGTGTGTGTGTGTGTGTGTTCATGTGTGTGAACTGTAGACTGATATTCTTTATGATTAATTATACAGTTGCTGAACATAGGGTACCGGGATCATAGGGGACCATGAACATAGGGGACCGGGATCATAGGGGACCGGGATCATAGGGAACAAGGAACATAGGGGACCGGGAACATAGGGGACCATGACCATAGAACATAGGGGACCATGACCATAGAGGACCGGGAACATAGGGGACCACGAACATAAGGGACCGGGATCATAGGGGACCGGGATCATAGGGGACCGGGATCATAGGGGACCGGGATCATAGGGGACCGGGATCATAGGGAACAAGGAACATAGGGGACCGGGAACATAGGGGACCATGACCATAGAACATAGGGGACCATGACCATAGAGGACCGGGAACATAGGGGACCACAAACATAGGTGACCGGGAACATAGTGTACAGGGAACAGAGGGCTGTAGGGATAGTGATGTAGGAACACAGAAATATGGGAACATACAGTATACTACTATAGAACAGTAAGACGATCATTAAAGATGACTAAATAACATTTATTCTCCTTTGTTAGCCTGGTTTCAGCACATATGCTAGGTAGCTAATGCTACCATGGAAACAGTTTCACAGTGTAAAGCCAGGAAGAGTAAGTAGGTGGTTTCTATGGTAACAATAAACGTAGAATTACCGTTTTGAAACAACTCTTTATAATTCTTTCACACTTCTGATTGTGTGTGTGTGTGTGTGTGTGTGTGTGTGTGTGTGTGTTACCGTCCCCAGGTAAAGCGAGTACGGTGCGTGAGCGACTCTGCCTGCCCTCTGTGGTCTTCTTGGCACAGGACTGAGAACATTCAGACCAATAAGACCAGGAGCTGATCACACAGTCACCGGGACAGGCCACCTCACAGGCTACCTTCACAGGGGGCGGAGTTGCCTCACAAAGCCCCGCCTCCACACCCACACCTGTAAGAGTAGAGTTTTACAGTCAGAGTGCACCATGGGAAAAGTGGTCATTTTATCAGTTACACTGTAATTACCCATATATATATATATATACTTACAATAATAAATAATTTAAAAATAAACAACGTGAAAATAAACACATCACGACACATGCGGAAAAGTTACAAATGTTACAAAAGTGCCAGAAAACCATGAGGGGAAAAAAACCATGATTGTTTAATCCCACACTAACACACAACTTATACATATTCATTCAAACTCATTCGTATGTTAATGAAGTGACGGATCAGCTGTATTAATGGCCTCCACACGGCCTACTACTTCTGACCTGAGAGACTTTATTTACTAACACATCATCTACATTTACACTTCCTCTTCAGTCCTGAGCTTCCTCCCGTCTGATCAGAACCGCACTTCACTCCAGAATGAAAACTTTCACTATTTTAATTGAAAGTAGTAGGTGTGTCCCAGGGGCCGTCTGTGTGTTGAGCTACAGCCTGCAGTACACCGAGCGTTCCGTTCAGACGTATCAAGTCGTTAACACGTATTTACAATAAACTGTAATTGCAAGGGAAAGGAAGGAAGGAAGGAATGAAGTTCTGTGATATCACACAGCGATATCTCTCACTCTGATGTTCTAAAGCCGGACTGGAATTTCAAGTCCATGAGTAAAGAACCCTCGAGGAACCAGTAAGTAAGATCTTTCTCTTCATTTAACATGGGGAGAAAGATCAGGTAGAACATCAGAGAAGAAGAAGAAAAATCCCTTCAGGGTGGTACGTGAACGAGAGATAGAGGAGAAAGAGGTAAAGAGTGTCAGAAGAAAAGGGCTCCTGTGCTTTAAACATCAGAGAGAGAACGAGGTAAGAAAAAGAGGAGAGCGAGGAGAGGAGCGAGAGAGAGAGAGAGAGAGAGACTTACAGGAACATCATATCAAAACTCAAGCGGAGAGGAAAAGATAGTAAGATAGTAAAGTGATTTGAGGGTGGATAGGGTGGTCTAGTGGTTAGCATGTTCACCTCACACCTCCAGGGTTGGGGGTTTGAATCCCACCTCCGCCC